ATTTTTAGTAAATTATATGTATGTATTTACGTTTAATTTGAAAAATTTTAAAACACGCAATCTAAAAGAAAAAAAAAAACATTTTATAGAGAAACTACTATTTTTGTTTATAAAAAGGAGGAAATTCAATTTTAAATTTTGGAATTATACGCGTCTATTTGCAATTGCGTTTGATTTTTAAATAATACTTACATATTTATAATGTATTGCATATTCAGCCATAAAATTCAAAAATTATGCTATGAGAATAATTATTAAAATTTTACAATTTTAATAAAGCACGCATTTCCGCAAATTGACAAGAACTAGACTATTTTTAAAATTAGAATATTTTTTTAATTCAACTTCTGTATAGGTTATATTTAATGGATTGAACAAAATTGGAAGATTTATAGCGTTATAGTAGGGGTTGACGGCCGATTTTTACAGTTTATGAAAGAATAAATTTAAGTATTGCTGTTCGAAAATAAAGCCTAAAATACATGAGTTGAAAATGTTTAACAAGTATTAAGCGTTAATAAGATTAATTACTTTTATTTTAGTTTGTAGGCTAGAAGCGTTCTTAAACTCGGAAATTCATTTCGTAAAAGGACAAATGAATTTTAAGGTTGGGCGAAAAACGTTCAGAAAGTGATTAATTTCCTTAAAGTGGTTTTTTTCGATTGCAGAAAATTTGGAATTAAAAATTTGTTAGATTTAAAATTATTTAGATGAAGGGATAGATGGAAAAGTATTTAGCTACTTTCTATAATTAATTTCTTCGATTCAGGTAGCAAAAATGGGATTACTTTAATTTTTTGCCTGTAATATGTGATTTTCATTTAAATTCAATTTCCTTTTAAATCGAAATTCAGGATATGGGTGATCGATGGTTTGGTCATCGACCTTTTTCTCATCGATTTGTTTATTGTTAATGAAATATTCCCTTTACTCTACTAATGTGTCAGAAATGACAGCATAGAGTTTCAACTATACATTTATTAAGGCTTACAAATAAAGTTCTTTAAGTAAAATATATAAAATTCAAGTAACACAATTTTCGTTTCTCAATAATAATTTTCTACGCTAAAGCGTAGAATTGCAAATTTTAACTGTAATTTTTTTATTTCTTTTTAAAAAATTGTAAATGTTGTAAAATTAATTATGTTAGAATTAACGTAAAATATCTAAATACAACTTGGAATATAATAAAATTAATTATTAATTGAAAACTGAATTAAATGAATTTGTTTTAATTACATTATAAAGTGGGTTATTACAATTATTATTATTATTCAGATTTGGGTTACTTACTGTTCTTTTTTTTTTCAGAGAAAAACAGAAGATTAACTTAAAAGATAAAAGTGTATATCTAAGAAAAAATATTGGGTGTAAATTTGGGAATATTTTTGTAGGAAAACCGATTTAAATAAAATCTTTGCTATTATTAATTCGGTTGTTCAGAGTAACTAATAACTACAATGAAAATTGTTCCATTCTCAAAATTTTCTTAAAATTATAATATTGGAATTAGAAACTATAGAACTCTCATGTCACCCCATATTAAATATTAAATATTTATTTTTAGTACTTTACATTAAAAATATTTAAATTTTCTTTAAGTGAAATCATTAATATTGTCATAAAAATATTTTACTGTTGTGTACAAATTGTCGTAAAAGTAATATACTGTTGTATACAAATTAAAATCTCAAAATTCAGTTTTACGGGAAACAGTCATTTATTTGCTTGAAATAGCTTGCCAAATATTGATAATAAGATGAATGAAAAAAAATTTATAGCTAAATTAATAATTGCAAATCATTAAAATATCGGATAATTCGACTACTATTACCATTTTATAGATCTTTAATTTCTTATTTAAAATAATAATAAATTTCTCAGCTATAGTGTTACAATTGAAAAACCAAATTAACTATACTTTACTAAATTTAATCCGCACATACAGGTATAATATTAATAATTGTTCTTAGCGCGACATGGGAACAATCATGCTTTTAATGGGTTATTAAATGATTCGAAAAAGAGTTTCGTTTTGTACCTTTTTAATTTTCATTCAAAATTATATTGTACGTATGTAGTGTATTCAAAAAAAAAAAAAAATATGTGTGCACATTTTGATTCGACTGGTAGCTATCATTAAAATTTTAATTTTTATGATTTTCTTGAAAGATAATTGATGATTAATGTTTCTTAAAAAGCATGTTGTTTTGCTCATTTGTGAAATCCAATAGTTTTGAACTTAAAATTTAAATTATATACTTTCATTTTTAATGGCTATTTATTTGAATGTTTGCTTTCAGTAAATTAAGAAAAGAAAACAAAAATAACAGAATATTAATAATTTTAATATGATGTTAACGGGATTTTTTTCCCTTTTAAGAATGAATTGAATAACAGAAAAAATTAGTGTTAATTATACAAATAGACAACTATTTTAGAGAAAAAAACTAATAATCATCTTTCTTCCATAACTATTTAGTTATTAATTTTAATTTAAATTATATAATTTCTGTCTTAACATATTTACATTTTGTGAGATTTCATTCTTTGACTAACAAACTCTTTAAATTCCATAAAATAGCTTTCATGAAATTGTAAAATTTTTGGAACGGAATGAAAATATTTTTATTTATGCAAACATAAAAAATATGAGTAAAAAATTTAGTGGACATAAAAATGTTGAATTTGCTTTAAAATCTTAAATTTGTTATTTCTTCTGTGCATTTTGAAAATGTTACATAAATTTAAATGAAGTGAAAAAATTAATATTAATAATAAGAATGTTTGCTCGTATCAAAAACTATGCATGTAAAATGCATACACTGTGAGAACAAAATATGCCCACTTCAAAGAGTGTTGAAAGAAAAATTGTGAAATGAAGGATGACAGCACACTCTTATTCTTTATGAAACGTAAGATTTCAATTACAGCATAGAAAAAAGAAGATAATTTAAAACATTTTTAATTAACCTTCAACCTTCTAGCAATATTTTGAAATAAATGTGAGCATAAAAGCTTTTAAAACTATAAATTCTTTTTAATTGTAATCTTTCAGTTGTAATTTTTATGAAAAATCAATCAAATTATAAATAAATTACATTTTTTTTTGTCCACATACAAAATTTTAATTCATTTCGTTTTTGTTAGGCGTATTCAATAGTAGCATAAAGAAATCATCTGCAAATATTTTTTTTTTACTTGAAGGCAAATTATTTTTAAAAATTTCTCTATTATTTTCAATTTTAAATATGAGAAAGAAAATTGTTTTTGTTTTTTTTCTCAAATTTTTTACTTACCATATTTTTCACAAAGTTCTTTTACTTTAAATCGATCTTCTTCTTCAAATATTGGAATTCGCCACAATTGTGCTCCATCATATCGTTTTGGTTTACTATTATTTTTCTCCTTTATTTCATTGTCATTTTTATTTTCATTATCATTATTAATATTTGTATTCGCTCTCAAAATATCACTAGCACTATGATTTTTATCTTGTTTAATTGTTTCACTATTTTCCAAATTAACATTTTCATCTAACAATTCACATTTTAAGAAAGTTAATTCCCATAAAAGTAAAATCAAAGTTATGAACAAAATTTTTGACATGTTCTCTTACCATTTATCAAAATTGAATTATTCTTATTAATAAAGGTGGCACTGTTCTTTTATACTAGCAATTTGAATAAAATATTTAAAAGAAACACATAATAAAAATAAAAAAAGAACTTTAATGAATATGAAAAAAATAAACCAAAAAAAAAGTAGAATCAACAGTTGGTGTTAAGGTGGTGTTCATTTAAACATATTTATGTGCCATATATTTATGAACGAACAAGGAATATTTAATTTTTGTATTTTTCGTTTTTGCTTCTTATATAACTCTTTGCGATCAAGTAAGAAAGTTATACCTGATAATGTTCATTTAATATTATGGCTTTTAGGTTCCAATATTTATATATTTTTTTTTTTGTAAATTAGGAGGATTCACTATATGGTTCAGATTATCTTGAGAGCAGTTTCTTATTATTTTATTAACCTCAAATTAAATTAAATTGGTCTGATAAGGTTTAACCCTTTTTTGAGATATTTATCAATTATTATTATAATTACTTAATTTTTGGCTAATATTTATTTAGCCGAAGCTAGTTTAGTTCTAATTTCATATTTGTTATTTTTTTTGAGCTGGAAATTAATTTGGTTCTAAAGATTTATTGATTTGAGTTTAAATTTGCACGAAAATTTAATAAATATTGACGTTCAATCACAGCTTTCTTAACAACAATTTAATATTTTAAAAAATGTTGGCTTTGATATTGAAAAAAATTTCTTCAGATTTCTAACATCGTTTTTATGAAAAAATAATTGAGATTCTAAAAATAATTCGAGATAAGTGGTCGACTAAGTGGCCGAGATAAAAATATGAAATAAAAGTGTATATATGTATACATATTATGTACGTATCTATGAGTTTAAGGCAACTTTTTGTTCTATATCAAAAATCCGACTTGATTCAATAGTATTGCAGAGAAATGTAATACTTCAAGACAAAAGATTTTTAAAAATTTTAAAGAGACTCTTTTATGTGACTATTAGTAAAATAAAAAAACCTAAACATTTAAATCCCTTAAATAAAGGTTTTTAACCAAATTTACAAAGACTCTAAATGCGGAGCATTTACTTTAAGAAATTCAGAGTCTCAAGCAAAATAGCGACGAAACAGAACTTATTAAGAGCCACAAGAGCCAAATATCTGCCTTTTAATGTTTCTTTAATTTTACAGCGTTTTCCTTTACTTGTAAATCTATAGCTATTCATTTTTGTTTTTGAAAACATAGTAGGATATCAAAATTTAATCAATTTAATAAAAATTGATCTATGTATCAAAAAATTTCCTAAAATTTATAATTCTAAAACTAAAAAAAATGAAAATATTACAAATACAAACCAGTTATCTTTGCATATTATTATCAGCCTAATTCGTTCTTTTTCCAATGCAGATCGAAGAAATTACAGGGGGCATTGAAACCATTCAATTTAATATGGATAAAAATCAAACAGAGAATGATAATGATGATTCTAGCAGTACATTGAATAACAAAACTGTTTTGGTTGATTTAAACAATATGAAAATACCAGTTCTACCTGATTTGAATAATAAAAATTCCGGAATAAAAGATGCACTTGGAATAAATAATAGAAATAGAAATGATCAAAATAAAATTAAATCAAATCCCCTAACAGAAAGAAATGAATATAAGGAACATAGAAAATCATTTGATAGATCATCAATTGTGTCTCCAATTAATATTAATAATAAAATTTTTAGTCGTCCAAGTTCAACACAAAGTACATATAGTGAAAAAAGTTATGCCAATAAATTAAATCTAAGCCATCAATCACCGAGCCATTCCTTAGCTGCTCAAAAAACTTCTTTGGAGAATATATCTGTGACAAGGGAGCATGCTCTTAAAATGGAAATCGAACAATTACAAGAAAAACTTAAAGATACTGAAGAAAGATTACAAAGTTTAAAAATTCAACATGATTCACTTTCGCAAATACACCGAGATTTACGTGAAAATCATACACAAATTCAAGAAGAATCTGAACATTTGAAATTAGATGTTCAACATTTGACTGAATGTGCCAATGTATTGAGATCTGAATTGCAATCTGCGAGAAAAGATCGTAATGAAGCTTTAGAAATACAAAAAACTTTGCAAAATGAAATCGATGAATGCAAGAGTGAAAAAAAAATTTTATCAGAGCAAAGTGAAAAAGACTCAAAAATTATACAGGATTTGAAAAGGCAATGCAAAGAAATGGAAAGAATATTAATGAGAAAACACCCAGATTCTGTTTCTGCATTGATTGGTAAATACTTTTTTTTATTACTTTTTTATTTGTGTGTGTGTGAAACTTTTTCTTATTTTTTGTAAATTTTCAAATTTCAATTATTTAAGTGGCTTCGAAAAATCCTACAAAAGGCAATGAAGATTCACCAGCTAGTCGGCGTTTGCTGGAGCAACGAATTGCACAATTGGAGGCGGATGCTAAGCAACAAGATATTCAAGCTCAAAAAATACTGGCAAATGTTCAAGCTAAATTTAATTCAGTTCAAGCAAAATACGAAACGCACATAGCTGACTTAGAAACACAAGTTCTAAGGTAAGCGTACTATTATTTTCATTAGCTATAGTTAATAAAAAAATTGTCTTTATATTTTGTATTTTAGTCTTCAAGAGATCAATACGAAATTAAATGAAAAAATTGAATTTCAAATTGCTACGTTGAACAATTTTGCTAAATCAAACAATCATTTCAAAAGTTCATGTACGCAAACTGAAGACATACCCGAAAGAGAAAGTAAAATGATAACTATGTCTACCCAAACTGATATAAAACTGTCGGGCAAACTAGGTGTTACTTCTGGACCTAGTACTGGGGCAGCTAAGAAAAATTTTCCATCAAAAATACCTTCATCACATTCCGAAACACAAATTCCCGGCCATTATGGTGCAGGTAAAGAAGATGCACATTTATTAGCTACCATTCGTGGAATGCGTGTTGATTTAGCCATTAAAGATAAAGCTATGCAACGTCTTACTAAAGAACTTGAAGAATGTAAAAAGACCATAAGAAAGCTCCAAAAAGAAAAAGACGGTAATAAAAATTTTTGTTTTTTCATATTGCTTGACCGAATTAGAAAATTTTCTTTTTACTTTTGAATCAGTAATGAAATTAGAAAAATCTAACACTGCAAAAAGACATTACGATCCGCATCAGTATGTTGATCAACAAAATTCTTCAGATAGCCAAGCTTTAAAGGAAGCACTTAACAAAATAAAACTGCTTGAATTTGATTACAAAGCTTTGCATGATAAACGTTTACAAGACGTAAGTAATTGCATTATTTTGAGTATTTAAAAAAAAACTCAAAGTCAAGCTGTTTTTCTCTTTGCAATTAAGCATAATTATATTAGTATTAAATAATTTCCTTTTTTTAATATATTTAGTTAAAAACATTGCAAGCAGCACACGAAAGGGAACTAGCATCCTGTCATGAAACCGTTCGAATACTGCAACAAAGATTAACAGAGAGAGACGAAGCATTCGCTAATCAAAAAAGGCGTAAAGTTCCAATTGATTACTACGCCCTCAAAGCTAAGGTAATTTGTCAAATAAATTAACGCTATGTTTCAGGCATTGTTTTATTTGGAATGCTTAAATTTACTTTGCTACTTTGACTTAAAGTATTGTCAACATTGTTCTTTTTTCATACTGTGTAATTTAAACAATCACAAATTCTTAAATTACTTTTACGGACAATTCCTAAATTTATTTCTGGAATATAATTAAACTAATATTAACTCCAAACAAATGTTGATTTAAAATATCTTATTAATTATTTTATGAGACATATTGTTTTTTAAAAAATTGTTTATTTAGGTTACTTCTTTGGAACGTCGTCATTCAGAAAGAGAACAACGCCTTCATATGTTGGTAGAAGCTCTAAGTAAAGGACGACTGAATGGCGCTCTTGAAGATATTCTTACAGAAAATGACAAGTAATCAATATTAAAAGTTTATTTTAGAATTTGATAAAACAATGCAAAAAAAAAAAACCAAAAGAAAATACAATGATAGTCATTTCGGATAAATTTTCTATATTAAATTATTATACCAAATTTGTTACATACAAATATTTACGAAGTAAGTTGATTACATCTAATGTAATATTATTAAGTAGTTCTAAAAGCATACTAAATTCTATTGCTTTTAGCTATTTGAAGTTAGTTGTTTAAAATTGGTGTTAAAAAACCGTTGAAATTTCTCGATGAGAATTATTGTATAGGTTTTGTTATGGAAACTAGGTTTCAATTATAATTACTATTGTAAAGTATTATAATTTTTTCCTTAAAAATTATTGTCTCCTGTACTCGCTGATTTTATTTTGTCACATATAATTATTACAACAAAGAACTAGGATTCCTACGTTCAATGAAATAATGACTTTCTGTCTCGAAAATAAATAGCTGGCGTGTTCTAAATTGAAATTCGTCACAAGTAATTATTATAGTATTAAACTAGGATTCCTGCGTTTAATAACAATAATAATTCTCTGTCAAAATTTAAAAGAAGTGTGTCTTCTGTATTCTAAATTTTTAACTCCTTTTATTTCCTTAAATCTATGGTTTATATACAAAAAATTTATATTACATATTTCTCCCACTCTTTTTCTTAATAGTAATTAGATACATAATTCTTACTAAATTTATTTTTATTATTTTGGAAATTTTTATAATGTGATAAATAACAAATATTAAATTGATTGTATTTTAACTTTGTATGTATATTCAAAATATTCTTTATCTTTTATGCCATTTCAAGTTTACCTACTATTTTATTATCCTTATCTTCAAAAATAAGGCCAAGCAATAAAAATAAAAAACATGTGCATCTTCAAATTATTTTTAGATTATTTTCAGATCATTTAAAAACATTTTACTACCTGCTACAACAAAAAATGTATAGTTTTAAATCACAATATATCCTTTTTACCACATTTAAAGACTTTGTATTAACAATACTAATTTTAGATTATTTTAAGAAATATTATATATTTTTTTTTTTTTTTTTTTTTATGATAAAAAAGTACAGTTGGCTGCATTAATTAACATTCTCCCCCGCGTTGATGTCTAGTGCATCAAGATGATATTGCTGTCTTGAAGTAGCTGGAGCTATTGTGGCTTGTTGATTAATAGTTGCATTTTTGAATTTTATTAAAAATCTAATGATGAGCACAAAACTGATAATGGCGATTGTTAAACCCAAATAACTAGTTATATAGTGATGTGTATCATTACGAGAGTTATCTTCATAACTATAATCTTGTTCTTTTAATTTTTGTAATTGTTGTTTAATCTTGCCATATGCAGCTATATACGGTTCATGTTTAACATTGAACTGTTTAACATGTTCAACTTCAAAAAATGTAAAATTAAACTCTGGCAATGATTGGACGTCATCGAATGGTGTATTAACTTGATAATTTCTCCTTTTAAACGATTCAATTATAAATTCATCATCTTTGAGTATACAATCGTCATAAAATTTTAGTAACCCGGCTTCTGGTAATTTCATTGAGTATGCTTGATCATGACAAACAAGATTATCTATTTTATTTTGTTTGTGTAATGAAAACAACCATGCATTTTTCTGATATAGTGGTATCCAAGCTTTTCTAGATTTTGATATTTTAAGCGTACATTTATCTGAAATAGTTTGTTGAGTTAACAGTTGAATCTCACATTCCAGTTGAGTTGATGATTTGGTTAACAATGGATACAGTTGATTGCATAGATATCCACTTGTTTTATAAAATACGCAATCCGAAAATTCTTCTTTAGATAATGGGTAGATCGTATCCCTATGTAAATTGGCCATTATGTATTTTGTGTTTGGAATTATTTCAACTGATGAATTGTTCATTTTTACTGGGAAAGATACAATATTATAAATTTCGAATTCCATTGTTCTTAGTAAGGGAATATTTATGACAAAAATAATAGATTCTCTGGAAAATTTAGTGCTAATACTTGTCATTCCATATATTTGTATTAATGATGGAATTTTTAATTGTTCTGTTGGAATGATCTGACGCAATTCCTCAAGATGTTCGGCTATTTGATTTGGTGTTAGAATAACTGTATTGAATTTTCCATGTTGTGCATCTCTCATTATGTGCAACATTGTTGTCTGTATTTCTTGAAATTCGTCAATAATTAACATTAAGTACTGCCCTACCATTAAAAAGAAATTTTGAACCTTCTCTTCTTGTTCATGCGGTAACAAGAATTTTAACGTTCTTTGAATCTCTTCAATTTCATCTTGAATTATCTTCAAATGCTGGTTTCTTTCCTCTTCATTTTTCTTCAATAAATTTGTTGTAGCTTCTATAATATATGTTTGGTTATGAATTAAGTGAAGTGCCTTCTTTTGATTAAATTCTAAGTTTTTTACAACATTTTCAATTTTTTCAGCATATTCGTCGTCCAACACTCCAAATAATTTGTTGGCTATGTTGCCTACGACGTTTATAAGTCCTCGTTTTTTGCGATCATAATGAGATATATTGTTAAATAAAAGTTGATTCCTTTCTTGAATTTTGTCTATCTTATGCTCATATTTTTCCAGTAATAATTTAACCATATCAGCATTTTTTATTTTATTAGTTATATCTTTCATTTGTGTTAAGCCTTTCATAATCATTGCTTCAGAGTACCAATAGTTGGACATATTGTGATAAACCACTAAATTCCAATGAGTGGCAATTAATTTTCCACTTCCTACTTTTTCAAAGTATGCTCCGTTCGGTTGAAGTGTTGTTACATTAAAGGGTGTCGTCGACTTTCCTAAGGCAAGTAACGGAAGAAACAAAATTGTTAGATATAAAAACATTGTTGCGCTGAACGGACTGTTTATCCTTCGCCTTTTATTGGGAGCAATAATTTCAGCATTCTCTTTCTTCTTTTTATTTTCATCTTTCTTCTCTATTTGTTCTTTATCTTCTATTGGAATAGGTGCTATATTATGTATAGCGCGTTTAAACACACCGCTTGCTGTTCTAATTGTTACTACTCGTACAAACCCATCTTCACCTTTGATAATTTCTTCTACTCTACCTAATGGCCATTTCAATGGAGGAGCATTCTCGTCTTTGATAATTACCATCATACCTGGATATACATTCTTTGAAGGCTCTTTCCATTTGTATCTTTGCTGTAACTGCGACAAATATTCGATATGCCATCTTTTCCAAAACTCTTGGCGTAAAGCTGAAACAAGTTTCCATCTTGATAACGTAGTAATCTTGTTGTCTTGCATATTGGGCTGTGGTAATGCTATTAATGGATCCCCCACTAGAAAATGTCCTGGAGTGAGCGCTGTCAAATCGTTTGGATCACAAGAAAATGGTGTTAATGGCCTCGAATTCAGTACGGCTTCTGCTTCTGCTACCATTGTGTTGAGTTCCTCAAATGTTAATGAAGCCGATGCTAAAGTTTTAAATAACAATTTTTTTGCAGATTTAACAGCTGCTTCCCACAAACCTCCAAAATGTGGGGATCTCGGAGGTGCAAAATGAAATTGAACATTGTTAGTGCCGCAACTATTTATAATTTTATTTTGTTCTTCTTGTTTACTAAGTAATATTTTTAATTCGTCTAACTTATTTTTTGCTCCTACAAAATTAGTAGCGTTGTCGCAAAATATATTTTCACATAAACCTCTTCTTGCAACGAAACGTTTTAATGCACCAATAAATGCGTCAGATGTTAAGTCAGACACTACTTCCATATGTATCGCTTTTGTTGCAAAACAGCAAAATACTGCAATATACGATTTTTGCGGTCGTTTCCCTCTTATTAAGTAATGTGTCCAAATAGGTCCGCAAAAATCAACACCGGTATTGCTAAATGGTCTTGAAGGTAGAACCCTTTCTGATGGTAAATTGCCCATTATTTGCTGTAAAAGTTGTGGATTTGATCTTGCACATTTAATACAATTTCTTGTCACTGCTCTGCACACATTTCTTCCTTGTGTTATCCAAAATTTCTGCCTAGAAAAAGTGAATAAAGCTAGTGGTCCCGCATGAAAATGTTTCTTGTGTAAATGTTCGATTATTAATTTTGATAAAAACTCTTCTCCTGGTAATACAATTGGATACTTTGCATCGTACGATATTGAAGCATTATCTAATCTACCTCCTACTCTTATAATTCCTTGTGTATCTAAAAACGGTGTTAATGAACTTATTTTGCTATTTTTCGCAATTTTGTTGCTTTGTTGAAGTTGCTTCAATTCATTCGAATAATGTTTCTTCTGCACCACTTTAATAATTAATGACAATGCATCATTCATCTCTGTTACTGTTAAACAGCCTTTCGAACTATTTTCACTTCTTTCCTTTTTCATTATTCCAATGAATCTTAACACATAGGCCATCGTTCGAAGCAAAACGTTGTATGAATTACGATGATTGATTTTATACAGTGGATGATCGTTTTCTACTTCATTGTCTTCACCCTTTGCAATTAATGACGTTTTTCTCTCTTCTTCTTCTAACCTCATAACCTCAAATTAATTTTGTGGCCATTCTTCTTCTTTCAATTGTAAAAATTGTGGTCCATAAAACCATTTTTCTAGTTCGCTGGTTTGTTTCGACCATATGCCCCTTGATAATAAATCTGCCGGATTATCTTTGGTGTTCACGTACTTCCATTGGTGAACTTTTGTTTTTTCGTGTATATAAGCAATTCTGTGAGCGACATATGTCTTGAATAACCCTGGATCTCCTTTGATCCATGACAACACTATTTGTGAATCACTCCATAAATATGTCTCATCAATGTTAATTTTAAGTACTGACTTTATTTTATTTGCAAGTTTTGTTGCGAGTCGTGCTGCACACAGCTCTAATCTTGGAAGAGTCAATAATTTCACAGGAGCAACTTTAGATTTCGAACAGAATAATTTACAATTGATAGTCCCAGATGAATCAATAAAT